GGGGGTCCGAGGGGAGGGGGATTCTGCTGGGTCCTGTTCAGTGACTTTGACATTTTCCTCCTTTGCTCCGCGACGTGGGTGCCTGGGGCACGTTCCCTGATTGGGGCAGGAAGCAGTCTGGGGACTTGCTGTCAGAAGACTCATTATAAACAATGGCCAGGACTCAAGGGCTGGGGGAGGAAAGGGCTGAATGGCAAAGGGCCACCCTGTCTCCCCAAAAGTGAGCTCTGAGTTCCCAGCTACTGCTGCCCTGCTTCTGCCCCTAGGCAGGGCAGAAACACCACAGCCAAGGCTAAAACCTCTTATAGAGCAAATGTTTCTGGGTCAACCCCCCAGGCATCTGCAAACTGCTCACTTCCCCACTTACCTAAGCAAAGGGCCAACTCAGCTTTTAGGCAGTCACTCCCCTCCATTATCTTTTTCCCAGCACAGCTTGGGTCTACACAACAGGGCTAAAGTCCAATTAAGTGATGCAACTTCAGCTACATCAACTGAAGGGGCTGAAGTCGAAATAGTTAAATTGGGCTTTTGGCCCGTCTACACAGCAGGAAGTTGAAGTAAGAACACTCCTCTTCTGCTTCCCTTACTCCTCATGAAATTAGGGTTACAGGGGTCAGAGTAAGTCCTCCAACATTATTTTGAAATAATGGCCTGCTGTGTAGACATGCTTTTTATTTCAGAATATCAGTTATGCCAAAATAATGCTGCTTTGTAGACACAGCCTTGGTGAACAAGACCTAGGCTCAGATTAGTCCCTCTTTTCTTAGGAGGAAGCCTTACTGGGCCTTCAGATGCCTCTGCTGGTAAGCTGGACACATAGCACCTTTACCCATCTGCAGGAAAAGTGGCTCATGTTACTTCTACCAGTCATTTTACCTGTCCCCTCAGTTACTCAGTCTTTGCTCTGTAGTAACACCAGTCCTTCCACCAGTTTCTGACTTGTATGTGAATAGGGCACAAGCCATGCTGGTTGGGCAGGTTAGTGTTTAAACAACAAAATCTTTGGGGAATGAGATGAAGCACAACTCACATTTTAAAGGAAAGCCCACTTATTCACTCACAGGCAGTTCTAGGGAAGGGGAGGAGACAAGAACATACACATTAAAGTGAAATCCAGAGAAAAGTTTTGAGTTACAAACAATTGAAATTTGTTCATCTCCATCACTCCTACCAAGCGGTGTCAATTGTCCTACTGAGAATAGGATTCACGTAATTGAGCATTGCACTCTCATTTTCGAGCTGTGATGTATACAGTGAGCCAGGGTCATCTTAAACCTGGTCTGTATTGGATCAATCTGGTTAAAATTATTCAAGGAGATAGTGTAGATGGTGTTTAAACCAGTTTTGCTTTAGTCTGCAATTTACAGAATTAAAGCAGATTTAAGCAATGTTTAAAGCAGTTGAAATGCACCTAGATTGGGAGGGTTTGCATATTTTTCCATCTGTTTTAGAGCATGTTTTCAAATATAGACAAACCCTCAATGAACTAACAACCATAAATGCAAGTGAAGCATCTGCTGAAAGCCACTTCCCAGGCCAAATGAGACCAAGTTTCACCTTAGGGTCAGCTTTCCTCCTCCTGCCCCCCCCAAAGCTAGAAACATGTTTGCTATTCCAAGATGACCAGCAGTGGCTCTGCCTAATAGGTGGCGTGGGCATTGCTTGGAAGATTACACTACAGAGCCTGGTACAGCTGTTATGGCATTAGCTAGAGTATCTCATGTAATTCCCATCTTCAAATATAAGACAAGTAAGAACACAGGAAGGCGAGGGGAAGTTACCCCAGCATGTCATGCTGATCGGAATCATTCTCTTCTTCAGCCTCATCTGTTCCATACCCAAAGGAGATGCTCAGTGAGGCTATGTCTACACTACCAGATTATTTCAAAATAACTCCCAAAATAACTATTTTGAAATAAGCTTATTCCTCTTCACAAGCAGGAGTTATCTCGAAATATCAGGCTTGGTAGTGTGGACACTCGCCTTATTTCGAAATAACTCCCCACTGTAGACATGCCCTGAAATATAAAAGGATGATGTGCTATTTAGTGACTACCACAGGTTGAACCTCTCTAGTCTGGCAGCCTCAGCACCTGACTGGTGCTGAACTAGAGAATTTGCTGGCTCATGGGAGGTCAATCATGGCCCAGCCACTCTGTGACCACTCGCAGGATCCAGCCCCTCTGCTGCCATCGCCAGGGTCCCAGTTGAGGGCTCCACAGCCACCGCAGCTGTGGTCTGAGCCTGGGACAGTGAGGGGTATGGACAGGTACTTATCCCAAAGCAAGCAGTGGCAGCAATAAAGCTAATTTGTGTTCCTACTATCCTGCTAAAAGGTAAAGTATTGAGATATTAGTTGGTTGTAGTTTGGGCATGCTGCACAGTCTCATCTTATGTACTGCATAGTTGTTCAGGGCTTTGCAACTGATGCTATCATTATGGGCTTACGTTCAGGACCATGGAAGTTATTTACATTACCAACTGCAGCACTGCTCCACAACAAAACTATAATCAAAATTATGTTCAACACATGTGTACTTCAAGCACTGCTTCATTGTAGGCTTCCAAAATGACTGAACTGATGCACTAATAAGGACAAGCATCAGTAAGAAGTTTATCTTGTCATGGACAGAGTAAGGGTGACATCTAGTGGCCAGACAGATTGTCAACTTGTTTAGTCACTTTTCCTTCCAACAGTGCACACCAGTGTTCAGTTTTTCTTTAGGGTCCCTACTAGATATGACTTGTACTGCAGGACTCACTCTTCATAAAATACAGTACAAAATAATTGACTGTATAAAGTCTACCATACTGTGCTTCATGTATTATAAAACAGGACAATCAAAATATAAATCCTGGCTCCTAAATTTATGGGACTCCAGTGAGAAAACAGAATAGTGGTATGGTAACGGGGGCCTCCCATTCTGAGGCTGTAATGCCTAATATATTAATTATTAGAAGCTGAGCAATGCAGTGAGTTCATACAGGCCTGCGTATTGAAAAAAATCCCCAAGAATGAGCATTTGGGGAATGAAATGAAATTTCACAGCTTGTAGCTCTACTCCTGCTGCAGACAATCACAAGGAAATGGAGCTACTTTAAATTTAAATACATGTGACAATTCTTAGTGAGTTATCTGACTACGGGGAAATTGAAGAGAAAAATTGAACCAGCACAGCCCGCTTTTTTAGGACTTCTGACATTAAGAAATTCAAGTTAGTTTGGGGTTACTGTTTATTCTAAACTGTGAAACCATTCAGTGAACAAACTGAGACAGTGACCATCTAATGTCATTAAGCCATGCCAGGCTGCAGATAAGGGAAGAGGGTTGACACACTTAATAATTGGAGATGCCAGTGGAATTTAGCAAGGAAGTATTTCTGCTAAGTTCTTGTCTCACACAAAAGGCACAGAACTGTAAAACATCCTCAAACTACTGGTACTGGGCGGGGGGGGGGGGGAGGGAATCAAACCTACATCCATCAGCACTCGGCTTCAGGACAAGAGAAGGATCACACCATCAGGGCAAGACATTGCTAATATTTTTATATTTTGGTAATGGTGTTGCTGGAAGGGTGGGGAAAGAGAACATATGGATGTAGCAGGAAGGCCAAAGATGTCCCAGCATGGCAACTTGACCAAGTGTTAGTTGAAGCACAGGCTGATTGTGTGTCAACTCACTATTAAGAAATTAACAATAGCAGAGAGGAAAAACGTGGGTATTTCTGTCTAACCTACAAATAGGATTACAGTGGAGGAAGGGTGTGCAGGCAAAGCACACTGAAGAAGTTGGCAAATGTTATTTTTGGTCTTTTGATGCATATTTTAAAAAACAAACTGCAAAGTAATCAACTCACCTCATCAACTGCTTTTCCTTTGGCAATTAATGAGGAACAATTATATTCAGGCTACAAAACCATCTATTTCTCCTGTGGCAGACAAAGGCAAAAGCTCTGATTCCCTGAATTATTTCTCCAATTAGGAAGCCTAGTGTGATAGTACCTCTTCCATGTTAATGCTACCACCTGACACTATACTAACTTAGACGACGTAGACACAGCGGCACTATTTCGGGATATCAGAAGTATCCCGAAATAGCAATTCCATGTCTTTAAACGTGCCGGTTATTTCAAAATATATTTCAAAACGGGCGCACTGTTCTGGGATCCCTGTAACTCTCGTTCCATGAGGGTTAAGGGACTTGTCAGAACAACATTTTATTTCAAACTTTGGTGCTGTGTGTAGACAGCACCAAATTTCAAAATAAGCTATCTTGAAATTACCTCAAAATAAGCTATGCAATTTGTATCGTGCAAATTGCGTAACTTATTTCAAGGTAAGGGTGCTGTGTAGATGCATCCTTAGAGAACAGGGAAGGTGTGGAGAAAGGAACAGAGAAGAAAAGTTCAGAGGCAGAGCATGAAGAGAAACTGTATCCTACAAGAAACAAAGCTGCTCTTTAATCATGAACCAACATTGTACCCTCCCAGAAAAGCAAATTCAGGCACTTGGAATAGATGTAAAGACAATCCCATAATTTAGGGTTACAAAGCCCCTCAATTGACAAGTTTCTAAAGCTAACCCTGTATCCATAACTGTGTGCATACAGGTTGCAATGCAACATCAGAGAGACCTCAAGTGAGCTAAGATACAGCATCAGACTTCTCACATAAAGAGGTCTGATCTCGTACAGCCCTGTCTATGGACTGGTCTCTGCAGTAACCTAGAACTGCCCAATTATTTTTAAAAAATAAGGCCTTTAATAATATGCAGATTTTCCCAAGTTAGCTGTTCCTTATTCAGATATTAGAAGAGACCATTCTCTAATCAAACTAAATCATTCTAGGCTTAGAACGGTCACATTTCTAAAGTAAGGTGTTTTTGTCTGGTTTAAATAACGAAATTTAGCTGAGATGCAAGGAAGTGCTTTTATTGCAAGCATGATGAGCAGGGAGTGGGTACCTTCCTATGTGGAGTGTGACTGAGGGCAGATTTCAATCAAACCCTTTCTCTAAAGCCCATTGATGTCAGGTGTACATCATTTCTGCCATGTGAGACATTTTCTTGGGAATATACAAGTAATATTCCATGTATCCTGAAAGGTCTTCAATAGTCACATCATCCACATAGGCCCTTGCTTGCTCAGAGCAAGTTCGTGGAGAACTTGAGGGAGTTCTTGATGGCAAAGACTGGGATTGTTCTTCAGAAACATTTCTTTCAGGTGCCAATGGGATGGTGTTCTGCAAGCCGGAGAATTTGTACACTTCCATGTTTTGCCATCGCTTACACTGACAGGCTTTGTCCATGCATGCACATGGCTTACTCTTGTTTTGTTTGGACACTGACTGGAAGTCAGAAAGATCTGTGGCCTTTAGACTTGCTTTGGACATCAGAGAAACAGCAACAGAAGAGTTATCCTGTTTGCTGTCTGGCACTGGCTCTGCAACAGAAGCCCCTGAATGATCAGCATCGACTCCCTTGTGGCCAGCACCATCAAGGGCAAGACTGGATTGTTCATTTGCACAGAATTCCTTCGGGACTGGCACCTCTGAGCTGGTGCTGCTGTCCGGTGCATCAGTCTGACTCTTGCGTACCATATGGGTGCATGCGGAAGGTGTCTTTGAACTGCAGTGGATAAACTTGGGAGGGTGAAGGATTGGAGACTTAGAACGCCTGCGACGCTGGGTTCTCATTGTTCCTCTTGAAGGTTTCCTCATAGACCTGGCAATAAAAGATACATAAGTGAGTGTTTATAACCAGTTGCAAGTACTATTTCCTTTCTGTCAATCATAGTAGGAAAGTATTTTAAAAGCAACTGCCTACCCTGTGCAGTAGGGATGTGAACGACTAGTTGACTATCCGAAAAGAAAAGATGAGGGGGTGCTTCAAAGTGGCAGCGCTACATAAAGTCCGTGGCCAGACCCTGGGCTCTACACGGCATTGCCGCTTTGAAACACCCTGGGATGCATGCGGTGTTTCAAAGTGGCAGCACTGTGTGGAGCCTGGGGTCAGCTGGGTACCATGCTCCCCACAGTGCCCCGCTGGCCCCATACTCCCCACAGAGCTTTTGCCTTTGAAGTGTAGCAACAGCCCTGGTGCCACTGCTACACTTCAAAGATGGAGGCGCCCTTATCGACTAATCTAATAGTCGATGCAAACTGCATTGACTATTTGATTAGCTAATTAATCTAAATTTAACATCCCTATTGTGCAGTAGAACCTCAGAGTTATGAACACCTCAGGAATGGAAGCTGTTCACAACTCTGAAACGTTTATAATTTTGAACTGGTTGTTCTTTCAAAAGGTAATTGAACACGGACTTCATACATCTTTGAAATTTTAGTATGCAGAAGAAAAGCCCTACCTATAACCATTTTCATTTAAACGAAACAAGCACAGAAAATTTCCTTACCCTTTTCAAAATCTTTTTAAAAACTCTCCTTTTAAGTAGCTTACATTTAACACACTACTGTATTGTATTTTCTTTTTTTCCTTCCTGTCTCTGCTGCTGTCTGATTGTGTACTTCCACATCCAAATACCCCAACTATACATACAATATGATGGGGGCTAATTCAGCTACAGCTAATCAGGAAAGAGATCTTGGAGTCATCGCGGATAGTTCTCTGAAGTCGTCCACACAGTGTCCAGCGGCAGTCAAAAAACCAAATAGGATTAATTGAAAAAGGGATAGAGAACAAGACAGAGAATATCTTATTGCCCTTATATAAATCCATGGTACACCCACATTTTGAATACTGCATACAGGTGTGGTCTCTTCATCTCAAAAAAGATATATTGGCATAAGAAAAGGTTCAGAGAAGGACAACTAAAATGATTAGGGGTTTGGAATGGGTCCCCTATGAGGAGAGATTAAAGAGACTAGGACTTTTCAGCTTGGAAAAGAGGAGACTAAGGGAGGAGATATGACAGAGATATATAAAATCATGAGTGGTGTGGAAAAAGTGAATAAGGAAGTTATTTACTTGTTCCCATAATATAAGAACTAAGGGCCACCAAATGAAATTAATAGGCAGCAGGTTTAAAACAAATAAAAAGAAGTTCTTCTTCACACAGCACAGTCAACCTGTGGAACTCCTTGCCTGAGGAAATTGTGAAGGCTAGGACTATAAAAGGGTCTAAAAGAGAACTAGATAAATTCATGGAGGTTAAGTCCATTAATGGCTATTAGCCAGGATGGGTAAGGAATGGTGTCCCTAGCCTCTGTTTGTCAGAGGCTGGAGATGGATGGCAGGAGAGAGATAGTTTGATCATTACCTGTTTGATTCACTCCCTCTGGGGCACCTGGCATTGGCCACTGTCGGCAGACAGGATACTGGGCTGGATGGACCTTTGGTCTGACTCAGTATGGCCATTCCTATGTTCTTACGTGGTTGACTAGTCAGTATGTAACTCTGAGGTTCTACTGTATTTGTATTACATTTTAATGAATGTCAGTAGCATCCACTGAACTTTTACTGAACACGTGTACAAGGTCCTTGCCTGGGAGAGCATATAAACTAACTCGGACAGACCTGATACTAGTTCTGGTAAACTAAGGTGTGGAGTTAACATCTGAGAGATCAATGTAAGAGACAAATAAACAAAGGTGGCTTTTAGGAGGAATTGGGTAATTAGCACATGGGGTGAAAGAACACAAGAGACGCCTTAGATGCCTCTCTGTGATGCTAAATCATCCTGCAAGAAAGAATTCATGATTTAAAAAGACTCATGTGCAAACCAATAGCTGGATACGTTTAAAGGGCTCCTGTTCCTAATGCTGGTGCGCGTACTAAGTAAAAGTCTCAGTTAACCATTAAAATGGTCGATTGACCTAATGTTTAACAAGTTAACTGACTGCACAGGATCTGAGCTGGGGACTGCTCCAGCCCAGCTGGAACAGCTCCCAGCCCTGCACTAGGGCTGCCTCTACCAGCTCCCAGCCCCCACGCGGGGGTTGGGGCTGCTGCTGGCTCCCAGTCTCCACCGGAGCAGCCTCTGCATGCGGGGCACCTGGGCCCACCACAGACAGAAGCTACTCTGGCCGAGAGCAGCCCCTATCCATGGTGGGCCCCCTGTGGGGCTGGAACAGCCCCTGTCTGCAGTAGGCAGGGAACTGCTCCACAGTTCCCACGGGGTACCAGTTAACTGGATAATCGGTTAACCTTTCACATCCCTAGTGCCTACAACATTCAGAACTTTACTCACAGCTCTAAGGTGTTTTTCTTTCAATGATTAGAAACAGAATATCAATGATAGGGGAGCGAGGAGAAAGGAATGACAGGTATGTATGTCTCAAAAGGGAATCTAAAAAAAGGAAGTTTGTAAACAAGCTAAAAACTAGTAACAGAATTGGGCAGTTACTGTTACAATAATTCTAGTTCATTTACATTTAAAATGGTTCAGTCAGGCCCAGGCTTCCCTCTGCTTACCCATGCCAGGCTTCTTTAGATGTGCACACATTCTTAGGTTTGGTTTCATCTGTTCTAACCAGCGCTCTTGGACTTGTACTCTCACTTACAGGAAGAGAAGCAGTGGACCTGAAAGAGAAACAAATACTATGCCATTAACCAAAGACAATGAGAAAGATCTATGTCAAAATACAGGCTGAACCTCTCTAGTCTGGCACACTCTGCTCTGGCAATGTCTGTGGTCCAGTATGCTTTTATTTAGCTGGGTTTCCACTTATCATGGGTGTGGTCAAGTTTCCCTTAGTCCCATAAAGTTTGTTTAAAGCCAAAAGTCCTGGCTCTCAGTGTTCCGTGCTGTTATTTAGCTCTAATTTATCCCTAAATGTCTAAGAGCTTAAGTGTAGGTAATGCTACTAGACAATATTGACCTCCTGTAATTCTCTGGTTTGCCCCGAAGGTGCAGGACTAGAGAGGTTCGACCTGTACGGTGGAGAGTAGGGATGTAAAATCCTGTTTAATTAGTTAACCATAGTGGTTAACCTGTTAACTGATTAAAAGGGCACAAGCAGACAGGAATCACCCCCTCCCCCGTCACCACAGGCAGGAGCTGCTCTAGCCTGTCCACTCCTGGTCGCCATGTGGGGCTGCTGGCTTCCAGGTACAAGTTAACTAGTAACCCATTCACATCCCTAGTGGAGAGGTTGTGAATTACACAAACTGTCCCCAAAAAGCTTCACTGAAGCTCCAAATCAGGAAAGACACAATGTGCTTGTTTGCAACTAGAGCGTTAAAAATTCACACCATTTTCCTAATGAGCTATCAATTTGAGAACATACATAAATTAAGTAACAATATGATGTTTTGTAGTAACCTGTGTCCTTCCTCACCTTATTATTTGTTACACTCATCTGTTATATCACATTATGTTTAATTTTGAAGTTTAAGCTTTGTCAGACATGGATTATGGTTTTTCATTTGTCCTGTAAAGTGCTTAGCACACCTTTTTGGCCCTATAAGTAATAAATATAAAATACAGTTTCAGTCAGCCTTGTTTACCAAATTACAACTGTTGCAAACTTAACCAAAACAATCCTTGCAAATATCCATTAACAGGGGGGCAAGAAAATACCAATAAATATAGAATAGGGAATAATATATATGGCTTTTCTATGGCTACATTATATAATGCTCAGATATCACAAAGTTGTAAAATGGGTTAAATGTGGGCCAATAGCAAATATGGGTTGGACCTCCCTGGTCCAGCACCCTTGGGACCTGACCAGAGCAGGGATGTCTGGGGGAGGAGGGGGCTTATCACCGGGCTCCTCGCCCCAGCCTCCTGCCCCTCAATCTGCAGCAACCCCCCAGAGCTCCCAGCAGCAGACTCCACTGGCTCATTGGAGCTCTCGGCAGCCCCGCTGGTTTCCCTGCCCCATGGGCTCTCATGCCCCATGGGCTCTGCTGCCCCACTCTATCTGGCCACCGATCCCTGCCACTGGAACTCTCTACTCTAGCAATATCCACGGCCCATGTCGCTGGACCAGAGAGTCCAAGACCCACAGAGGTTCAACCTGTATAACCATGTTCAGGTAGGTTTAAAAAAAAAAATTAAAAGCGGATTACTACCCGTGGAATGGACAGAGGCTTATAGAATCCAGTTTCTCCCTGAAGTTTACATATTGCTGCCCACTGCTGAAGACCAGAAGAAAGTGAAGTTCAATTTAACCACAGCATTCATAATCGATGAATGTTTAAAAGCCATATTTTCTGAATCCACTAAGTGTAAAAATGGATTCTTTTTTTTACACAGAAGTTTCTAGTCTAGAAAATTTAAAAGCACTTTACAGACTGGTTGATCCACAATCAGCTACCAATGTGAAACGCAGCTACTCTCAAAAGGTGTGCACCAGTAAGAAACATGAGAAAGCTTATCTCAATCTGTGAATTTTAACTAACTCAAGTCTAAGGCGCACCGTCCCTTGCAAATTACTACAATAATTAGGTCCTTAATCCAAAAATGTTTTCCCTGAGTGGAAGAAAAATCTCTACATTATGTGCCGTTAGAAGACTAAGATTTGGATATATGAAAATAGTAAGCCTGCTCCATTATCTTTTCTTGCCAAGTGACGTCCAGTTGATAACCTGCAAAAGCAGAGCCAGCTGCTGAATCTAATATATTCAACATAAATTAATGGGGAGTCCAGAATAGGAAAGTCATGTATATTGCAAAAAAATTAAGGATGGAATTCCAATGTGATTAGCAAAACAACCAAATGTAAGTTCTTTAGAAGCAATATCATAAGTGTCCTATATGGAGCAGAGTCCTGGAAAAAATAGTAATTCGATAAACATTTGAACAGCTTTCAAAGAAGACGTCTGCCTAAAATATTCAAAATAAAAAGGTCTGAGAGCAAGTAAAGAAAAGGTCCAAGAAAGGATACAACCACCCAACAAGAAATACAGACAAAAGATGTCTCAGATATATGTCTCAAGAATGCCTAAATAAGCATTTCTGAGGGTAAGAAAGACAGAGGCACACTTCATCGCACAATTATGGCTGAAGTAGCATTATTACCTCTGAATATAAAAAAATCTGGATAAACAAGTCCAGGATAGGAATGACTGGTGCTGTTTATCCTCTGCCGTATACACTGAATGATGTGGGAAGAATGAATATAATGGAACTAAATCTTAACAGGTAGAAAAAAAAATCAACCTGAGTAACCAGGTAGAAAGAAGATTGGGCTCAGGGAGAGAGAAAAGCATGTCCAAGGAGTTTCTCTGAATTCTGATTGAGCATTACATTGATACTATTTTTAACAAATAATTGGAACGGCAGCTGTTTAGCTACTCCCTTTTTAAAATCAGATCTTTACACTGTAACTCTAAGATATATATAATAGACTTAAATTAGGGTAGAAATGTAGCCGTGTTAGTCTGGTGTAGTCCTGTATTTTGTTTAAATTGGGGGTTTCCTATAGAAAAAAAAAGGTCTCAGTTTTAGAGCTACAAAAATAAGTAAGTCAAAGTCAAGCTTTCCTGAATATAAATATCCCTTGGATATAAACAGACTGTAGAATACACTAATCCCGGTGTACGAGGAGATTGTTAGCTACAAGAAACTCTTCTCCCTGTGTAGCTTTGGTCAACAGAGCAAGCTTACAGTACATTTTCAAAACCTTGTCTAATACAGAATTTGATGATATACAGTACTAGCCTCTTAAGCCTGCATTTTTAAAACTCCATACAGTCTGTACATGTAACTACTACAATTGTGTCTACAGTTACTCCAAGGGAAAGACTGTTCTTGCAGTTTTATAATAGGTTGCTCATAAAAGTCTTGTGACAATGAACTTGGGGAAAAAAAGAGGGGGCAGTAACAGACAAGGAGGGAAAGTGAAGCATGAGGTCAGATAAGAGCATAGGAGTAGAAAAAACAAATGACAATTCAAAGATGAAGGCAGTGAAGAGTTGGGGTTTGAACTGCTTTGTAAAAGACATGCTCGGGTACATCCAAGTAGTCAATTGAGGGGCAGTAAGGCTTCATAAGAAAAAATGGCTCATTTCATGTAAATACCAGTAGTACCTAGATTAGAACTGCTTTCAGATGAAGACTACATATGAAGACTACATAATGGCAACTTAAAATATTTAGCTCACTTGACAGCACCTAAGCTGCTGCCATGGCATTTGAGACTAGTAGGAGTTTATGATGCAGTAACCTCCACTTAATCACAGCACTAAATCACCCTCTCCACTCCTGTGTCATTCATCACTACTGTGTCCTCCGGTTTCCAAATATCCTGTCCAACATTATTACTCTACTCATAGGGCACTTCTGTGGAAAGTCCAAGTATTATACAGCAACCAGCTCCAAGCAGCAGCGTTTGTACAATGACTTTGGTAAACTTACAATATTGAAGTGGCCTTATTTTAGTCCTCTTCCAAACATGGCAAATAAAAATACTGTGTTTTACTGAATTGCACATGAAAAGAAAACGCCTTGTGGACATTGTTTGTAAAATACTGTTATAATACTTCAACCTAATTTTAAAGTACTTAGGAGTAACATACACATTCATACAGGCAGGAAAACTTGGGTACAGACAGCTGAAGTGAATCAGCAGGGGGGAATACATTGAGTGCCGTGGTCAAGGCTGGAAAACAAATGGAGAATATTTAGATGTGTGACATTTTTCATAGAATTATTTTCAGGCTCTTTAGTGAGGTGCAAATGTTTGATCTTTGAGATTAGGAATAATTTAATCTGATTAAACAAAGCCTCTCCTTCAGATTTTAAGCAGCATAGAGCCAATCTGTTAAAAATCAAATCAGATTAACTATGCTTGATGTATTTTGGGTGTTCATTTATCCATGATACTCCTTAATTGACAATGTAGGACATTACATCCCAACCTCCCATTGGGTTGACACTTTGGATTTCAGTCAACCACAGAATTATTTGGAAACACTTGCACATTGGTTCAGACTGGAGGTGAATGTTTCCTGTAAAGTCTTTACACCCTCTCCTGAGCTCAGGCCAGTTGACATTTGGAAAAGGTCGAGATATTAACATTCAGAATACAGCTCCTCTTTCTACAATAATTGCTGTGAACACAGACCAGTCAATGGAGGAGATCATATCAGCTCTTAGTGCTCACTTTACTAGAAAAGAGGTAAAGCATATTAGAGAGAGGGTCATGTAATTTAGTCCCTGCTCACCCCAGGTTCCCCGCTGTGCCTGTGCAGCATTTAAAAGGCAGAGGCGCAGCAGGGATAGCAAGCAGCCCTGCCCCCACTTATTGACTTATGGAAATTCAGTCGACTACTTGATTAGCTGATTAATCAAAATTTAACATCCCTAGTTAAGACTTGGCAATTGTAATGAATATTCTTTTTTAAAGTAGGAAAGAGGAACCATTCTGAGAATTAAAAACGATACTGATAGATTCTTTTAGCATGGAGCAGTGAGTCAAGTACAGCATATCAGATCACCCAAGTAAGGAGAAGCCATCCTTTCTTTCAGTGTTTTCTGTTATAGAAATGATTGTTCTTTGAGACTAGAGTCCAATGGTGGCAGTGCTGGATTCCTACATCAACTCACTATGCAATACTGAGGAGGTCTCTCAACGTAACTTGAAAGGGTGAGAAGGTA